AGAGCAAACTGTCCACTCCAGAAGATACTTTTAGAAGAAACTTCTATTTCCCTTGGTTGACACAGCCCTAAGAAACCTGGGTGACAGGAGTGTATATACAGTATGACCTTTATGACCATCTCTCTCAAAAGATATCATGAAGTAGACCATCAAGAATGAGAAACTTCATGACTGATGCAAGAAGTTGGAACAAACTTTCCATGACAATGATGCTGATGACTTAGCACTTGAAATCAATTTTTCTCTGCATAAGTTTCCAGACCAAGTAGCCACATGTCCATTTGACATGCTTAATGACATAAACAGAGAGAACCTTCTGGACTTGTACAGTAATTGAAGCATTGCCTTGTGCCTATTCCTGACTCTCCCCGTGTCGGTGGCCTCAGAGAGGAGCTTTTCAGCTTTGAAGCTGATAAAAACATACATGGATCCACCATGGGCCAAGAGGGCTTATAGGACTGGCACTTGGATCAATTAAGCTGGAAGTTTGCCAGTCTTTGGATATGGAGGACATTGTCATACCTTTGCTAAACCTAAGGCTCATAAAATACAGTATTAGATATTTTATACATGATTCCTTTAAAATTTGATATTTTATTTGTGTGTATTTCTATTCATATTGGACTTAAGTAAGACTACTGTGCAATTTACAAACTCAGGTAGCTTGTTTAAATAAAGAAATGGGTTCTCTTAAGTGTTGACAGTGAAATAGTATCTTTTGTTACAACGTTAAAGGAGCAGTATTTGCAATTAGTTTTAAGAGTGTGAACTGAAAAAAATAACAATTAGGAATTTACCAAATCTGCATATGTTAATGTAGTTGCTATTTTATAGGTACCACACAATTTTCCTTTTTCCTTTTTAACTAAACCTCAAATATTATGTTTGCAGTATGTGGAAAATATATGAGCAGTACTTGCACTGTTGTATTGATAAACCTGGGCCACCCCCAAATTTGATGACTTAATACAATCAGCCGGTTTTCCTTAGATAGAAACTTTTAACCAATCTGACTGGATGATTTAATAGAAATGACTTTAAAGTGTTTCAAGATGACGCATTGTGAATTGACACTATATAAATAAACTGAATTGATTTAACACTTTATAGGGAATAGTTAAATACTTTGAAAATAAAAATGTCAAGCCAAAAGTGTTATTGTAATCCAGGACAAGAACTTTTTACTTGTGTGACATAAAAGAAATATGGATATTTTGATGGCAAAAATTAATGTCGATGTAATAACAAGAAATGCCAACTTGCCCGAATATATTAAGAAAAATAACAAAAGACATTAATGCTGATACTGACATTTTTAGTTTATAAACCTAAACATAATTTTTAACTAAGATTACCAATTTTTTTACTTTACTTTTGAACTTTTCAATTAGCCTTTTACCTTTTTTTGTTGACTTAACTTTTTCTTTAATTTGCAGTGGGTAATATATCATTCAAGGGCTCATCTAATTGGTCAAATGCCAAAATAAGATGCACAGCCATGTAGCAGTGTCTTTGCTGAATGGCTGGATATAGATCTTATAGATCTAGACGGGGGGGGCTCTATTTGTAAGGGGTATGCAAGGGATCATAAACGGAAACTTGCCCTATAAAAAAAAAAATTAAATGGAGGCTAGTTTGGTTTCTCCCATGATCACACTATAAACCCAAATCCAACTTTTCAAAAGTTTGTCGTTGAAAATGAGAAACTGCACAACAATATATAAAACCGCTTTTAATTAGTTCATTGGAAGAGTAAACATACTGGTTACATTTGAATTGTGAATGTGATGAAATCATCGACTCAGACATGTCCATTCTACATCAATGTCTTTGCTTCATAAAAACCCAAGAGTCCATCATGGAGCTGTAATCCCCACAGTGCAGCGGAGAGCTAGCTAACGCTTCCCCATCGTCATCCTTGTTCTAAAGCCTGCAGTCCACAGCAGCACCGTCTTTAATCATATCAATTCCAGCTGGAACACGTGAAGCAGATGTTGTTCCTCTGCCAACAGGTGAGACTTCACACCAGTTGTTGGGATAGAAACCAGATGCTCTCAAGGGAAGAATCCTTTCAGAGCGTTAAACAGGTTGCTTTAAAGTTCAATATGCATTCAAAAACTGTTTAGTGCGAGAGGGAATTGATAGACTGCACTCTCTTCATCAGTGAGATCAAGTAACAGACTTCAAGTAGAGTTCGGAGTATGCATATGTTACATCCCAGCAAAGTGGCCCTGGACAGAGAGATCCCAATGCTACAATAGATAGTAATAGAGAACATCAGTATGAAAGGAATACAATAACAGCTAAAATGCTGGGAAACTACATTTCAGAGCTAGAGAAAAACAAAGCGTGTATAGAAATCATCATTAGTGCATCAATATCACCTTAGAATATCGACAAGAAAAAAAGTGTAAAAAAAAAAAATAAAAATAACCCAAGATTTCACTTGATGTCAGTTATTTTTGCTGCTCCAGCGCAATAACCTCCATGTGTGGTTGATAGCACCAGGAAGCTCCAAAATGTACCACGCACAATTTATCAACGCTACGCTGATACAAGCCCACATGGGGTTGGTCACTGAAGGATGCTGGGACAGTTGGAGCTTTCATGTTCCATTAAAAGCCCAAAACAAACGAGGAAAAAAACGGACAAACAGTGTCTTGCTAAAGTATTGATATCCCCTGAGCTTTGTAACATTTTGTCACCTTATAACCACAAGAATTGATGCATTTATTGGGAGTTTCTGTGATGGATGAAGGAAGTCATAATAAACATGAAGCGAAAGTACTGTAAAACGTCAGTTAAAAATCTGAAAAGTGTGGCGTGCATTTGTTTTCAGTCGTCTGCAGAATTCACTTTTTATCAGTTTTGGGAGAAAAAAAACTAATTTCTGCTTGTATTTAAAAAAAATTGCCCATGTTTACTCAGATTACATGGAGTCTTTCTTGAAGATTTTCACAGGATTTAAGTCTGGACTTGGACTAAACCATTTGAAATTGAGGGTTATAAAACTCCTACCTGTTGACAGAAACACCTGTGGATTATATGTGAGGATTATCACTTCAGCGTGCATTACGGTTTATTAACCTAACGATCTATTTTTTTGTTTTTAGGATGCTGAAACAGGCAGACATCTAAACATTGCACTGGGGTTTGAGGCCCAGGGTATAAAAACATCCTGGATGTGAAGAACTTTGACATCACACAGCAGAGCGCTGTTTACTGGAGTAATGATGAATGTGATAAGATCGGAAAAAGTCTGAATTAACTCGTAAATGGAAAAAAGGAATGAAGTCATTTTTACTTGCAGAGTGAACGCACCAAAGGCAGCTCCTTTGCTAAAGAACCTTTTTCTTCTTTCTTACAGGTCAACTTTAGGAAATATCTGCATCCATAAAGGCCACAAATGTTCCACTGTGGTCTCATCCAACTTAATCACAATATTGCTTGTTTTCAAACATGGAAAGTTTGCATGCATTGACAAGAGGAGTTGTTGCACCTGAGTTTGAAAAGCAAGCTACACTCATCAGTTTTTTACTTCTATAAATCATTAAAAACCGTTTAAAGGTCATTGAACGAACTGTTTCAGGTAAATAACTTATTTTACAAAAATTATGCATCCAGAGAGCATCTGGAATGCAGAATAAAAGTGTTAATTTCAGAGCATTTTGATTCTTTTAGTAATCAATCTATCCTTTCTTTTTCAAATTAATCAAATAATCGATCAGTTCTTTTTCATCTTGATCTAAAAAGAGATGCTTTTAGTAACTTCTATCTAAATAAACAAACTGCAATGAATTGCAAATTGTAAAACAGAAACATGCATGTTATTTATATTTAATACCTACGGAAGCCGAGAGGGGTCATACTCAACGTTTGTTTTCTTTTGCCTTCTCCAGATAATGACATAACTATCTTGTTATCTGGGTTAAACCAATAATTGTTTTCTCAAGACAACATGATAGTTATCTCATTATTGATTTCTTGAGATAATGAGATGATGAATCCATATAAGTAATGAATGAGGCTGGCCAACAGCCCTGGATTCCCAGTCCATCCATGCCTGCAGGGCCTGTAGTTGAGCAGTCATGGTAGAGGTTTGCATGTGCGTAAAAAATCAGGTTTTTAGTTTCCTTTTTCTTTTCACTCGCTGTCAGGTCGTGTTGGATGATTGGATTGCATGGAATACAGTAGAAACAAATCTGACTGCTTTTTCAATGAAAATCTTTGATCTGGACTCATTTTGCAGGTTAATGCATCTAATAACTGTTTTTATGGCATTTGTGGTTCCTTTTTCTAATAGTAGGCTGACAGGAAAGGGGGTTTAAGAGACAGGGAGAGACATGCGGCAAAGGACCACAGGTCAGACTGGAACCCGGGTCGGCCACGTCGAGGACTAATGCTATGTTCACACCTAAAGCAGCAGAAGCAGCAAAAACGCGTGTGTTGCTTCATTTTTCTACAAGTTTAGTTCTGCAGCAAAGCTGCTTCAGCTGCGCGGTCAAAAAGTGGGCCTATATTTGCTGTGATCAGTGGGTAAAAAGTAGTTTTATTGTATTTAAGTGAGAAAGTCCACCTGAAAATTCAAACTGTGCAGTCAGTTCATGCAGATTACCATCCTGCCTTCAAATATTATTTCTCTGTCGGAGCCGCTCAAACCCCTTTACACCGGCTGTTCTCTGTCACTGAAAATCCCATTCAAGCAGCCGGTTACCCCTTCACAGTTTGCCGCGGTGGCTGGAAGGCGTTTTTCACGCATGTAATCCAAACTGCAGGCACCAGGATGTAAAATCGACATGTTTTTCTGGCAGAGTTCGGCATTTTAAGTTAATTTAGGTGTTCATAAACCTTTTCAAAGGAGTGATCATAGTGATCTGCATCATCAGCGATGTGTCTCTCTCTCTGCCAGCTCCCAGATCAGCTTCTCTGATTGATTTAAGTCGTGCATCGAGCAGCAAAATGTAATTTTTCCCAACTCCAGCAACTGCTGCTTTCGCAGAATTAGGCCTCCGTACATGGGTCGTGCGCACTAACCACTGCGCCACCTGTACGTGAAAAATCAACTCGTTTCTCAAGAAAACCACCCTGAAAAGGTATGGGAGGGACACGACCGCTCTCGGCTTCTCTAAGGTTCCCACATTAGCTGACAATAATTTCTAAAACTGATTAAATCTGCTCTGCTGACTTTTCTGGAAAAAATATACCGCGTATATTTAGATGTTTTCTAAATGTTGACAGGTCCAAAATATATTTAGATTTACTTCTGGTTTTAATGCCAGTATTGATACAAATTCAAGGCTGAAGTCATGTGAGACAGATCTCAGGCATAGATAGATGCTCGTTAGTCTGTGATTAGAAATGGCTCTATCTGCATTTTATTTCCTAGATTCAAACCAAAAAAGAAAAAGAAAAATGAAGATAAAGATCGGTCAAATTCCTAACTGTTGGTACCGACTTAAGGAAGCCAAGATTCCCAGAAGCCACTTGAAGTTGGGCTCTTTTCTTCTGAACAGGTAGGTTAGCAAAGGTTAGCATTAGCAGTAGCAAACCTCGTATCCAGCTGGCAAAAAGAAAACAGACTCACTGGTCGGGGCCTTTGAAGTTGTAGCATGACCAACTCATTCTTTAACATTAAATCCATAAAGTAAAGGAAAGTTTGTGGTTGTAACATGGCAAAGTGTGGAAACGTTCAAGGTGTATAAATTGTTTTGCAAGGCACTGTGTTCCTTCTCTTCTCGTTTCGATCAATGCGGGTCGACTGGTGAAATAATGCCGCTACCTGCTTGGGTCACAAGCTACCGTTCGCCTCAGGTTCAGGCAGCTGGAAGAGGAAAAAAGAAAGCGGTGCTGTGGAGAGGAACACATTTAGGCACATGTCTTAAGAGCTCAGCCCATTCCCGGTGATTTACAAGAACCAAAATCAAAGAAGAATACCAGTGTTGTTTAGAGTTATAGCTTATATACCACTGTCATTTACCATTGCCTGCTGTGTTAATTATTATAAATATTATTTTAAACTGAAATATTAAGAAAGGCAAGAAAAGCTTAAATGATTGGCACAAACAAGAAAAAACACCGGTATTGTCCTTTAAGCAGGAAGGCATTGGCCGTTTCAGATAAATAAAGTGCTAGCAGTGTGGAGTCTGTACATGATTCAACTTTGAAACCTTGGAGCCGCATGTTTGAGGTCACACAGCCGACAGCGGTGACTGTATGACACATCGGAGAGGATTTACACAGAGAAGGAATGAGGATAGGACTTACAGAGTCATCAGAGGGAGCAGACAAACGCTAAATAAGCTGCTGGAATCATGTTACATCGGTGGCCCTGATGAGTCCAATACTGTCTGAAATAACAGCAAAGCTAAATCTCAGCTACACTACATCCCTTTTGCTTCAAACACCTGTGTGCTTTTCCTCCTGTCTCCTCCACTATAACAGGTCGGGTAAGTGACTGTAGACCGAGTCCAGCAGCGTCTGGCTGGCTTCCTGGCTCTTTACTCCGGCGATCTCAAAAAGTCGATCCAGCTTGTCCTCGGCTGTGGGGATCTCCTCCAGGAAGTGCAGCTCCTCGGGGTTCAGGATGTGCAGCATGTCGTCGAAGATGGGCTGCAGGTCACATGGGTCCAGGCGGACCTGCCGGAGAACCGTGTCTTTCTTTTCTAGAGAGAGAAAGGGAGGAACAACGATAAAGTCTGCTCCTGTTGTAACAATAACTCCTCCATACTTTAACCACTTCATATTACACGTTCCTTTTAGGTCCAATCTGTTCCAATAATTAGTTTTATGAAGAATAACCCAAGAGAACATCAAAGATTTAATTATTAGCTCAGCAAATTAAGCAGCTGAAATGTCCCAAAGGATTAAGTTTGTTTTTTTGCTGCCCCCTAGTGGAGACAGCCAGAGTGACAGTTTTTGCCCATTTAAAGTCTGAATTTATATATATATATATATATATATATATATATATATATATATATATATATATATATATATATATATATATATATATATATATATGCACTCTTAAATTCACTTTATATAACATGTAGACCATGAGAATCATAAAACAGAAACAGCTTTTGTAAAACAGCTGTAGCTGTTAGCGCTGCTGCTAAAATATCACTGATTACAGGGCAGTATCAATGAGTATCAATGGCATTATTAACATTATTTATTGTTGGTTTATTTTAATGGTCTGGCTTTAAGGGAGAAGAGATTAGCTTTAGATGGCAAAAAGCACATGGCAAGACAAATATAATTTTATTCTAAGCACCTCTGTGGTTGTAACTAAGGGCATTGGAATGGCAAAATCTTATTTAAACTTTTAACAATGTTTGAATGATAATCTGGTGAAGATTCTCAGGCTTCCAGGTCATGGTCATTCCAAAAAAAAGAAAATTAAAAACAATCCACTGGACTTTGCCTCCAAGTTTGAAGACTTTATCACTTCCCATCCAAGAAGCTTTTTTTTAATGATATTCCTTCACCAAAATCATGCGCAAAAGGATATTTCTCCTGATTTATACATGTCGGGGTAATCCTCATACTTTCTAAAAGCAACACTGTGAAACTTTGAACCATAATGGGGCCCTAAACCTATATCTTCCAGGTTTAGGGCCCCTTAAAGCAACTGGAAACCCATCACTTTCATAAATTAAACAGCCTTTCTCTGTATTTTGAATCTGCTATTAGACCACTTTGGACCATCAGACTGAGAAGTGATGGAGGTGATTGGATTCACACCTTCAGTGCCATAAAGCTGTCCTCAGGGTCCCATGACGACTGATTTGACCTTCTAAAGTTACATAGGAGAGTTTTTAAGGATGTCAGCCTGCACAAAGCAGCGACTCCTTGGGTAAACCTCCTGAGCCTATCAGGAGCCTTGCTGTGATACTGGATTGAGATCTCAACTTTCAATAGAATATCAATAATCTGTCTTGGTTTGCATCTTATCACCTGAGTCATCCCCCAAATTAGATCCTTCCTGCTTTCATTTCTAGTCAGCTGGGCTACTTTAATTCTATTGTTACTTGAACCTCAAAACAATCTATATTAACCGCAGCTGATCCAGAGCGCTGCTGTTTGGCTGTTAAAAAGAACGTGGAGGGTCAATCACATCACTTTGGTTCTCTTCACTCATTACAAATTAAACAGAGAATTGATTTTAAAATCCTTTCAAGTGTTTATAACACCATAATTAGCCTGGCTCCTTCTTATATTTCTGAGATGTTAATCAAGTACATCCCACACAGGTCATTAAGGTCATCTGGCAAAGCATCTTGTTATATCTAGCATCAATTCTCATTTAGCCTTTCAGTCATTATTGTCCACTTCTTTTTTTTTTTTCCTCTAAAGTCTTTAGAGGAGACTAGATCTTCAACATCTCATCTGTTATGAAAACAATCCTAATGACTGAACTGAGACCATGGAGGATCAGTAAATGTCTTCCAATGAATATATAGATTGTAATGGCCTGATCAGGCCACATGAGGGCACCAAAACATCACCTTTAAAATGAGACTCCTGTTTTCTTAGATTTTTAATTCAAGGCTAGAATAGCCATGAGTGGACAATAGTGAGAGTCTGAATCATCTAGAAAAGATCTCAAACATCTGAACCCCGGAGGATCCGTCATAATTGAGAATTTGTGACTCATCTCTCCTCATCAAATGAAACCTGTGATTTCAGCAGCTGGAACGTCATACATGCTAAAAGTTTGAAATATGTAACTAGATAAAGGTTAATGTTCATTGCCGTGTGCGACCTTCTCACTGACACATGCAGCATTTACAACATTTACAACTCGGTGACACGGTTTCTGTGTGGGACTGACTCACAGACGGGACTCCACAAACAAGCTCTATTATCTGGATATAACCAGTACATAATGACTAAAAGTCATGAGTCAAAATCAGTCAGAGTCCCCATCAGTCAACCTACATCAGGTTATGTTATATAACAGCCATCTTGGATGTATAAAGGAGTGTTTGAACGTTTCTATTTATTTAGCCACCAGGGTTATTAATCATCTCCAAATGAATACCTGTTATGTGATCTAGCTGACATGTTTGAGTAATTGAATAAGTAAAGTAAACAAACACTTGGCAGCCATATATATAGTTGGAGGCATGAAAGGAGTCGTAAAAGGACGACTAAAAAGCTTTCAGGTTGTGTTTTACATAGGATTAATTCCCAGGACGGTGGAACACCCTGTTCCTGCTGTGTTCACCCCTCACCTTTGGTAATGAAGGAGCCATTCCTGCTAAGGGCGGAGTCTTTGCTGGACGTGGAGTCACAGCGAAGGAGGGGTTCCGATTCGTCGACGAAGAAGCCTTTGGTGCGGTCCATCGGCGACTGGACGGCGCCCACGCCGTTGGCTCTGCCAACACTGCTGCTGCCGCCGCTGCTGCTGCTGCCGCCGCTGAGCGTGCTGCTGGGGGAGTCCAGCAGCTTGTGGATGGGACTAAGGCTTTGGCTTACATTCACTGAGGTCGTCAGCTGGTTGATGTCAAACTGCACACAGGAGGAAGACAGGAAGAAAACCTTTAGTTTGAAAATAAAAATAGATAAATCAGCATTGTGTCATATTTTATAAGTTATTACGAAGTAAAAAAAAAACAACAACTATTACAGCTTCCAATTTGGATAAATTTGTAAAAGAAATGTCCCCAAATCCCTGTTCTAACTTTGATTGTTCATCTGTCCCTGTTGTTGAGCTACATGATTGAGGTAAATGGAGATGGGATCAATTCAATCAGCCAATAGAGAATCGTTTTCACCAAACTGTAACCACCCTGTTCTTACATGTTGTGATTTATTATTCCATCCTTCTTTCTATTTTAGAAACATTTCATCATATTACAGGTATCTTCTATGCAATATCATGGTTTCCCTCACTGTATTAAAAGCTTTACTTGCCGCTCCAGGCTAAGTGTTATTTGTCTATATCTTTTTTGCTTCTATAAAGGTTTTCTGCTCTAGATTGGTCAATTACTGAAATATTTGTGCCAGTGATTAACATGGAGAAATAGGTTATCACATAAAAAGCCTTGAACTTGAATCAGTTTCACTTTATTTACATGAAATTATTTTAATTTTAATGTTACCAGGATTACACCGCTTATTTTTGCAGTCACTGGCTGATTACTTAATTAGAATTTGACTCAAGGGCAAACAATATTTAATTTTTAATTTTTTTTTACTGTGATTTGAAATTTATTTTGTTAAGAAGTTAATTGGTGTTGTATTGTTAATAATTATCTTACAATAACGTAACTGAACACTCATATCTTAAAATTTCTTGTCTACCTTTCAAATAAAGAAAACACTGTTAGTTGCTAGTGGGCAACCCTAGAGACATTCATCACTGAGCTATGCCAGTTTTCTGCGGGAAATTCTGAAATAGCTGTTTTACCACTAGATGGCAGCAAAGGGCTTCCAATTCCATGGTTGGTACATGTAGAATAAAGGGCTGATTATCCTCCCGCATCAGTGTGTCGCAGTTTGCTCGTCGCAGGTATGACGCAGATATTTTTTATTTATGCCCAATTTTGAAGCGTGGTCTGCGCTATGTTATTCCACGAAACAACGCAAGACAGACAATCACGAACTAGCTTGGATTGTGGGTGTCAGTGTGTCGTTTGACGAGCTTGTTCCAGTCTGCAACACCTCATCCAATGCCGGATGACACACAGTTCACCCATGAGTGTTCCCGAAAGACTCGCCGTGGCGCTGCGTGTTTTGGCTTCGGGTGCAAACCAACAGACCGTCACACAGGGCTATAAACTAGCGTCCTGCACGGTGTCTGGGATAGTGTCCGAGGTGTGCCAGGGGTTGTGGACGGCACTACAGCCAGTGTTTCTGCCATGAGATACTAAACAGGAAATACGCATAGTGTAGAGGGGATGTAGAATTGACCAATCAGAGGCCTCCTGTCTTTGGCACTGTCTGTGGTCACCTACAATTTTGGGGAGGTGCACCAGAGTGTCTGCGGAAGGGGGCGGGCATATATGCATTAACTGCGACCTGGTTTCTGAGCATAAACCAGGCTTTAAGGAACAGCAGGTATTGATGCTTTACAGGCATCACCCTGCCTTTATGCTTTGGAACAGCCACTTAAAGTGGACTGAAATCAGTTTTAAATAATCGGGGGTTTTGTTTGATGTTTTTCATCAAAATGATAAAATGTCACATGTACTTAAATTGTATGTATCGTATACTTGCAGATTTTATGGAACACCATATTTATATTTCCCTTTGTCCCTGTTGACTATTAACATGTCTGATGCAAGTAAGATGACTCCAACCAACTTCCTGCTGGCAGATATTTTTTGTGTGATAACATTTCCTTGCAGTACAGTAGAAATAAGACTATAAATTACTTTTAAGCAGGTCCTCCTGGTGGGTTCCAACTGAAATGGTTGTATATCGATACCTCTGTTGCCCTTAAACAGTTTCCAATTTCAAGGTTCTCTCTCCTCATCCGTCAATGTTTTTATCTCCATTGTTCGTTTTTTTTCTCCCTGTCTTTCCATTTCCCCCTTGTTCTCCTCCTCTCTCGCCTATCTCTGCCCCCCCTTTCCCTCGCTCTCCATTCTGTCTTTGGTGTGGTAATGAACCTGTGGTCTGAACCAGTAGCAACTGGTTTAGGGATGAGCTCATGAGAGCGCTTCTTGTTTTTCACTGCGAAGGCCCACTTGGGATAAAAGGGAATAGCAGCAGAGGTCATTTCATCGCCAAGCAAATACATAGAACCCAAAGGAAAAGCAGATATTGTTTTTCTCTGTCGTTCAATCCAGTCTGTAGGAAAGTTCTGCTCGGAACCCGAGGCACAGAAATTAGAGCAGCTATCATTCTTTGTTTCATAACATCTGGTTTGCTGTACTGGTATCCTGACAGAACAAGCATTGCCTTGTTTAGCTAGCTAAGGCATATTTACATCTACATGGTGACTCAGGAATATGACACTCTGAGTGATAAATACTGGGAATAATGTATTTTTTGAGAGCTGTAGGAAAACCGAGGGATCCTTGGAGGACGATAAACAGCGGCTCCGGGGGACAGGAAGTCACGATTTCTAGTTTCTGTTTTGGTCTGTTTCTGATTTGCTGCTAATCTTAAAGGACATGACTTATCTGTTATTATTTTGAACAACAGGATAAAACAGGAAAGATACAAGACTGTTGATATAAGTCTATAGAATTTGTTTAAATTTAAAGAAGAAAAAAATGTTGTTTTAATCAACTGTAAGTTAGGCGGAATGACTTAATACTTTGAGTAAAGTAGGTCAGTCCGATTGATTCATATGTTATTAACTAACTGGAAGCCGGAGGCATCCTCCACTGTGATCCCACACTTATTACCGACTTAAATAATTTGCTCAAACAAAGAATAGATTCAAGCCTGCAGAGTTTATTTTCCTGAACAGGAGAAGCCCAGTTATAAAAAGACGACAAAGAAAAACAAAGTAAACAAAAAACAGATTTCTCTGTGCATTTCTTGGGTCTATCAAGAACCTCCAGCTTATTTTCACATTTCAAAAGTGTGACTGTTACATGAATTGGTCATTCTTTGTCATCCTGTGTTATTGTTTATGGGGCTGCAATGATTTCAGGGTTTATCCCAGGGAAATTCACAGATACACTTAGAAATGATGCTTGCCTAATTATAAGGCTTATAATGTGTTTTATAAGGCAGAAATAATCAAAGCTTCTTAGATTAAAAGGCTTTTAGTCTGTTTTTTGGGGGTGGAGGATGAGTTAGTCCTCAAGAATGTAAAGAAGGGTGCTTTTCAGACAGTTTTTCTCAGGTTAAGTTGAGGGTTGCAGGGCATCCAAATGCAGAGACGGAAGCCGAAATGGTTTCTTGCATATATAATGGTAATAGTGGTCCAACAGAAGCATAAATCCAGAAGTAACAAACCAGGGAACACAGGAACCAGAACAAAGGCGAACACAGATCTTTAGGGAGAGAATGGAGAGATTTCGTGTTTTACAGGAATCTGAAAGTGACATAAAAGAAAGAAGAGGTTCACAGCCATGTTGTCTGAGGTAATAATGAAAAAAAACCGATTTAAAAATATTATTATAATACTAAATAATGGTTAGAGAGCACTTCATGTCGTAAAGAAAAGTGATAGTTAAAGTGAAAGTGATGGGTTGCCAGTTCCTTTAAGGGGCCTTAAACCTGGAAGATATAGGTTTAGGGCCCCGTAATGGTTCAAAGTTTAACAGTGTTTTTCTTAGAAAGTATGAGGATTACCCCGACATGTATAAATCAGGTGAAATATCCCTTTGGGCATGATTTTGGTGAAGGAATATCATTTAAAAAAAAAGTGATATCTAAAGTTTAATATGAAATGTTTTGTATTATTCATTCTTTTCATATGCATGACACAATAATTTAGGTTAGTCAGTTTTTTGAGTTTAGTTATACAGATTGACTTAAATTTTGCTTCATTAATATATGCCTGCCTGTGAAGGTGTTTATACACATGCACATCCTACACCCATTAATTTGTGTGCATTTATCATCAGATTGTAACATGCAATATGATGAAGGAAAAATATTTCTGCTCACGCTGCCAAATTGCAAACATAAATAACTTTGGGCTTTCTTTGAAGATCTTTCCTGCTCGTACAAACAAGTTTGCACCTGTTTCGATACACATAAACCCTCTGAAGATCAGGGCCACTGTATCATATATCATTCATACATTTTTTAGATGTTTAAATCATCAGTGTGATATTTTTGTTCTTAAAAAACTTGAGTTTTACAATTAGCCACATGTAGTATAAAAAAAATCTATGTATCACAAATGATACAAATAACTTACTGTAGTTAAATGAAATTTATATAGAATTTATGTTTTTTTCTTTTTCATCTGTAAGAATGTTTAATGACATTCCAGTTAAAAAAAAAAAAAAAATCATGACAATTACTTCATGGTTTAGGCTTTAAATGGTTAATCACACAATGAGACGCTTGGTAATGGAGGTTGTTTAACCAGAGAGCAAAGGAAAGACGTGTTCCATCAAACCTTCGACTATTATCCAGTCTAAACCCAGAAAAGATGAGATCAACCACAAAGGGAGGATCAGTCAAAGAGTACACAACATTCCCACAAAGAAACCCACAAGTTGCTGAGCTGACGACGTCATAAAGCTGCTTCAAGTTATGATGACTGTCTGAAAAGCTGCTATCAAAGATAAAGGGGGCTACTTTGAGGCTTGAATATATTTATCATACTTTGGTCTTTTACCACGTTTTGCTTACCGCTGGCTTTTCGATGCCACATTTTCCAACACATTGCTTTTCATGACTGCGTTAATCTACTTTAATCAACTAGATGATGCAGCAGATTACAGTTTTTGCGTAATGGTAAACCACAGTGGCAACAGCAGAAGCTTTGTCCTGACTGAAGCATGACAGGCCACCCAGGCAGAGCCTTTTCTAAACATCTATGTAGTCAGTCTGTGAGTCCCCTTGTGAACCAATGGGAGTGCTACTTCCTC